GTTGTTTTTCCTGTCAATTGTGATTATATCCAAAGGCGGTGGTGGTGAGCGTTTTTCGTTGTGCACGGAAATCTGTGCAATCGCGAATCACCACACCGGCACGATTACCGCGATGCGCTGTGAACTTCACATGCAGTGATCATCAATCACTTTTTTTTGCTCTGTTTGTCGCATCAGATGACAGCGCAGTGGCACCCAGATAACATTTTATGAGCGGGCGCAGCGTGAACAGGGGCTCGCTTGTTGAACTCCGAGAGCCGCTGCTTGTCTTGCTAGCGAGGCGTATCTTGGCAGTTCCAAACAAAAAAAAAATGGCAGCATATTCACGGAGTGAAGATGGAGAGTGGGGCAAAGAATTCGTCCGTCCATTCGTTCTTGCTTCCGTCCGTCCATGTGTCCATCAGTGTGACCGTCCATGCGTCCATCAGCCCGTCCGTGCGTGCGTCTGTTCGTGCGTCCGTCCCTGCGTTCGTCCATGCAGCCGCCCCTGCGTCCGTTCATGCGTCCATCCATGCATCTGTCTAGGTGTCCGTTCATCCATCTATTCAACACTCCAAGTACCACCATCTCGCATCTTTTCATCATATATTCCCCATATAGAAGCACCGCCATCCAGCGGAAATTCCAAGGACTAAACGAGAGGTGGCACACGCACACTTTCTTATGGCTTGCGCTTCGGGTCCACTTCCCACCTTTAACCACCTCGAGTTCATGGTATATACTAGTTCACTGTATTCATGGCACTGCGGCCGAACGCTCGCTAAACCTTTCGAAAACCAAGGACGTTATGCCCAGCGAGTATGACGTAGCAAACTTTTTCAGTCAGATAGTGCTCAATGTACATGCCAATGTCTGCTAATGGGAAATGAGAGGCGGATAATTCGGCTTTTACTTTCTTACGGCTTGGGCTTCGTATCTACTTCCCATTTTTAACCACCTCGAATTCATTGTATTCATGGCACTGCGGCCCAACGCTCGCTAAACCTCTCTAAAGCTAAGGAGGTTACACCCAGCGAGTATAACGTAGCAACCCTTTCTTGTCAGATAGCGCTTAATGTACATGCCAATGGCTGCTATTGGTGATCGCAGCCTGCGCGTTAACTAAAAGCCGAATGCTCCTGTCTCTCATTCCCCATTAGCAGCCATTGACATGTACACTGAGCACTATTTTTTATTGTTAAACAACGCACAGAAGAAGTCTCTCACCGACACCACCTTGAAGGTCAAAATGTTATACTTGGCACATACTACAGGAGATGAACGGGTGCCGCTATAAATAACTTCGCCCCTAATATGACGTCTCTAGGAGCGAGGGTACACCGTCGAAGGCGCCTGCGTGCGAGATAGGCATGCTCTCGTCTATAGCTAGGATTTACCTAGGCACTCTTTAGGAGGGTACAATGGCACATGTACAAACACCAACGTTCTTAACTGCTGACTGAATTATTTGTCGATGTCACTCCATTCGAGAACCATTCTTCTTTTCATGGCCCAAGCTTACCAAATGAAGTATTTTGTCTTTGGTAGCTCTCAGTTCTTTCTTTAGCATCCCCAAAGGACGCCAGAATAATACAACACGCAAACAAACTCGAAATAGACTTCAACAGACTGCAGTAGGAGTCAGCATGCAGCTTATAAAAAGTTAAAAGAGCATGATTTATTCCTGACGAATCCAGTGATGCTTTAAGGACTTTATTGTATGGTATATGACGCCTCAGTATGACACAGTGTCTTTATTTTCTCTTTTGCTTCTCAACTATATGTCCATTAGGCTGAATATACACCTCAGACCTTTTGTACATGTGTGACACCCATTTTATTAGAAAATGCATATTATTCTATGTACTTCTCTAAAACTCAAAGGAGGTCTGTCTAGCTTCCATTTTCAGTATAACCACTAACCGTTTTTTCGAATGCACCATTTAATCTAATAATTGAACAGCGAGTGAGACAGAGAGGCGGAATGAGACATGACGGAAAGAGAGCCAATATTACAATAGCAAAATTGGATGAAGGAGAGGCATTAGAAACAACCTAAGCTTCCAGAGTTTTCACTCACATGGTCAAGCTTTTGATTTAATTATCAGCAGCTTCTTGCGTTTCCTTTATCCCCTTAATTTTCCATAATACGGTATTCTGATCAGTGTGAAGCCTACGCACTGTTTCAATAACAACTGCAAGCATCTCCTCAAAGTTAAGGCTGGTATTTGACTAAATGTCACCTGAGAGCTACAACAACAACGATGCAAACTTTCGGGAGAGGCATAAGAGAAGCATCAATGCGCGTAACATCTTATCATGGAGGTGAGTGGGCCCTACGACGCCGCAACGAGGCAATAATGGCTACATATTACACAGGAAGCGTCTTGAAGGTAACCAACCTGGAAATACGGCAGCCGTAAGCGTCCCATTTCTTCAAAGCTGTCGTGCCCACCCGAACTTGTGCTTGGCTGGCTTTTGTATCCTACGTCATGGTTAGTGAGATTGTCTGCGAGCGAACCACGCTGCCAGGCACCAGTAGACGAGGATGAGGATACCAAGCTTAGCCATTGTTGAACTGCCGGAAACGGAGCTGCTTGAGAAAGGTTCGAAAACCATCGAAGGCCGGGCACTGAAGGACGTAACCGGCTTGTTGCTGTATCCCGCGTCACATCTTGTGATGTTGTCTGTGGAAGAACTGTGTCGCAGGGCCCTGGTAGACGAAGGAACCAGCCGCGACCATCTTTGCGCGATCAGGATCGGGAGCGAAACCACATGGCCAAAACAAAACGACTTCACATCAAGAACCCACGACGACAGGGCACTGAGGAACCTAACCGGGAAATACGGCAGCGGTAAGCGTCCGATCTCTTCAATGGTGTCGTGCCTTTAAAATCTAGTTTCACTTTTTGTGAAACGAGAACTTTAATGCTGTCGCGTTCGTAACCCTTGTAGTTATACCAATATTTCGACCTTGATTGATCTGTTGGGTTTGACGTCCCAAAACCACCATATGATTATAAGAGACGCCGTAGTGGAGGGCTCCGGAAATTTCGACCAGAATATTTTGACCTTCAAGTGTCGGAGAAAACCCCCCCCCCCCCAAAAAAAAAAACCTTTTCGTGTAGCATTGTGGCTCAAATGAGCAGAATTCATTGTATCTCTGTGTTGCTAGGATTGACAATCATTTAAGAAATTCATTGTTACACACCACTACACAGGCTTAAAACTAGAACTATCTTAAACATGAACTCCAATACACGGAATAATTTAATGAAGAACACGTAGACATATTCTTTTTACGCGGACGTCTTTTATATAAACGTGATATCGGAGCAGTTTTGTAGCATGTAATGCACTGTTAGTCCTAATAAACTACGCGTAATACGACCATGTTATTGAAGGTGTGTGAAGATATTTCATGTGCGAATACAAACATTTTTAGGCCACTCCTTTTGAAGTTTCACAAATAAAACGCATACCACCCAGAGCAAACGCACGAAGCCAGCATTCTCAGAATACAGGGAATCGGCCTTAGGGAATGCGCCCTTATATTCTAAGCAAATTAGGAAAAAAAATATTCCAAAGCCATTCTTAATACTTTTGCTGTAATGTTGGCATCATAGGTTAGGCGAGGCACCAATTACAACACAATGAAAAAAATTGAGGTAAATCACCTTTATTTAGATGTGTCTTCGAGTTCATTATTAAAACACACAGCCCTTCTTGCGACACGCCTGCTGTTGCTCCGAGCAATCGGAATACCTAGCGGCGACAATTACTATTGGCGAATAATAAAGCCTGACCAACTTCACCAGTTTTGAGAGTGATATTTAAGCTGAAACTAGTATTAGCGGTATAACTACACTGTGACGAGAAGATGAAAAGAGCTAAGTTATTGAATCAATTATTGAATCAACGACGAGCGATTGAATTCGCTCGTGGTTGATTGAGTTTCGAGTGCGATTAGAGCACGCATGGCGAATGGGGGTTAACTATAGCAGATTTCATACCATTTCAATTGCACTCATGAGCAGTGACTTCATTGTGGTCGTGGAAAATTTCACCTCATGATAGCTTCGGTTTGGGGTTCACCGATGAATGTGTTCACTTTCGTAGCTCCGTAAAAATTGCCAGAGCCCATCTTTTTCCAAATATCAAAGACCTCACCACATCAAGCACGGCCATAATTCGTCCAAGCATCCGACGTACTTCATAATAAATAAAGTTTATACTGAAGTGCTATATAAAAACAAGTTATTCAGCTATTTCCTCATTTTGTGATAGTGTTCAAGCGCACTTCTTAAAACACTCCGTATCTACGCATGCATTTATTTAAATAGTAAAAATTACGCGGCCACGAGTGTGCAACTTTCAAAACTTTTCAAGCAAATAATAAAGTAATGTCAGTATTATCAAGGTACCAGTTGGTTGTTGCAAATAAGTAGAGGCAGCAGAAAACATGTCATGTCTGAAACCCTTCCTAAAATGATCGTATTCATAATAGATAATATTATAGTTATTAGGTCCCAGGGCCACCTAAACTTCTAAATTTTCAATAAGCTAATCTTGTACTTTACAAATACGTCACTGAAAAAATTCGTCTATTTATTGTTTGTTTCCACTCTACATATTTTGGGCCTTCTGCTTTATGAAAATGCAATGCAACATTTCGCAATCCCGATTAAATTACATGCCACGCGCAGTTGAGCGTTCTTTTTTTATTGTAGAAAGGTTTATGAGCATAGCCTGTGTGACCTAATTACTCCGGACGAAGAGCTACATGGAGCAACTAATTTTAGGTAGCTTGCCAAAGCCTACAGCGCATGATTGTCTACTGTAGAGAATATTGACTTCGCTATAGTCCTAATTATTGCATAAAAATACTGTCCTCTGGGTCAATGTCCATTCCTTCATTAAATGTCAAAATTAGTATAATAAATTAGTTGCTTCGTCAATTTGCGTGTGCTACTGGGGTCTAATTACTTTGCGGTAAATGCGAACTTAGTCATCTGCAAAGATAATTCGGTTTAGAAATCATCCTATATATACCCAGGGAAATGTCGACTGGCACACATATTCAAGAGCTGGTGAGCCTAGTACTGTTGGTAAGTTATAATTCCAGATTTCTGATAGTTCTTCATATTCAGTCTCTGCACTGATCACTTCTCCATCTCATATTAGACTAGCTTCCGCAGCTGCTGTAGTGCATTCTGCTAGCGCTGTTTGCGTAGAAAATATGCCACTACATATATGCTGTCTAAAAAATATTCAGTACAGAACGAGTAAAGGCCCTAACTCTGTTACTATACTGCCGAAACATAGTGGTGAAAAAATTGTAGAATTTTGCCTTGTTCCTGATCTTTCGCACAGCTTACTGCAATTACGAAAGTATTGGGGAAGAAAGTCGTTCCATGATTGGTCGTCGTGCATGCCCAAATATTTGTGAAGTGATAGCCGTGGAGTGATATTAGTAACATGTAATGAAAACAATTCGTAAAGATTAGTAGTTGTGGTTCCAGCGGACGTTCCCACTAGCGGACTTGTCTTCCTCAAGCTAGAACAGAAACGTCGGCCCGACACAACCCCTATTTGACGGAATTTTCTGTCGCAAGCTTCCATCTCACCGTTTTTTTAGTGGTAAAATGTGTGACACGTAGTAATCAACTTAGTAAACTCATGGACAATAAGTAAACGCACGGTGAAAGCGCAAACGCAAATGAAGTCAACGGACATTCAATCAGTACGAGCAAGTACTACTTTTGTTTTTATTTAAATGTTTCTAAAGATAAAATGCGCCTTTATTATTTTTATCATTTACAGATTCAAACAGAGGACCGCCTCTCAATTCGTTCTATTAGACAATAGTTGTCATAGAGATTAAACATTTTGAATAGTGTAAATATTTGTTGGGTAGGCTGAGTTCTTGCTCGCCCCACCATGCTCCGGTGGCGAGTGTTCTAACAATTTATCTACCCACGAACGCTTGGAAAACTTGGATACCCTTAACTTCGGGAATAGATTCTATCTGATAAGTGATGTGTAACACACATGCAAAAAGGGACCACATTCTATAAAACCGCGTTGAAATTTGTGAAGTTAGGAAAGACGGCCGTCCAGCTTGAAGTACAAGGCGAAAACGGATGGTTAGGCGCATTACAAAAACGTAGACCTCGCGAGTGCAGCGCCAGCGTTTGTTTTATGGAACTTGTACCGGTGTATTTTTAGAATCCAATTAAAAAGGTGGCCTATCCTTGTGGTAGACACTTGGCTGTTCAGTAGAAGGACTCATTTTATATATGCTCTTTATGCGTGATTTTAGGTAAAGGGCTCTACACTCAATGTCTTCGTGAAGTACTCTAGATGGAGAGGCCACGTTTATTGAAAAAAAAAACCTGGTTCATCCCGGCTGGGACCCTTTTTCCAAGGCTCCATTGGCTGTAGTGGCTCGGCAAGCTTGACCTAGGGCTTCCAGTTTCTTTCAAAGGGCCTGTTCAACTAGTCAAGCCTCCCAAAAACACGTTTGAGCTTGGTGTGTATGTCCTATGTCAACTGGGGCGGGACACATCAGTCAGTGGGAGGTTATGCATGCTATAGGCTTGGAATATGTCCGCACCATGGCCATGCGTTGGTGTATCTGTCCAGCTGCATGACGTGAAGCTCATACGGATTCAGAAATCTGTTGTAGAGGCAACAACACTGAAGAAGCTGCAAGAACATCCCCTCTACAAGGTTGTCCCAGTGGTATGCCAAGCGAATACGATAGCAAAAGACAGCGTGGACCCATAAAGTGCTCCACACCTAAAAACACCTTTTCGGTTGCCCCTTGTGGGATAATGTCTACATGAAACATCCAAAAAAGAAATGAATATGTTCTTGAAATCGATTTGAACTAGTCCAAGGAGAATCAATTTCTCTCGGTTAATTAGTGCCAAATCAACATTTTTTTCTCAATGTACGCTTCATAAAAAGAGATAGAGATAATAGGGAGGAAAGGCAGGAAGGTTTACCCAGCATTCATTTGGTTCGCTACCCCACACTAGGTGTGTGGAAAGGGAGGAGTGATAGAAAAGAAGAGATAGTGAAGTAAAGAAGTAAGCATAACTGACTTATGGTATCGCTTGATGTTTGTGTGTAAATGGTTCATCTTTCCTTTCTTTTTCTTTAGAATTCTGTTTCAGGCATGTGTAAATTCACGCCAAAGTTCTAATGATACCCAGCGTGGTCTTTGTTATATCACGTAAAGGTGTCTAAGCTTATCCGCTGTATGTACTCTCAGTTGAAAAAGATTTTTTTTGCAATGAATATATGTTCGTAGTTCTTCCCTGTGTTGCTAGGAATTTGGGTTGTATATGAAAGGCTGCTTCCGAAACAAAATTAGTTACCAGTGTAACGAGTGTCGTGTTTTTTTGTCCTTTGTGTCCCCGTTGAATTTGCGCAACTACACCACATGTTAAAAGGATGTCTGACCAACTATCCCAGCCCTCAAACTTACTGAAGTAAAGAATGTTGCAAATATGTACTACTGGTAAGATTGCAGGTCCTACTCACTTACGATGAGACGCGGAAACTGAGGTGCACCGAGGCCTACATACAGGTGCAAACCACTTGATGAGAAGCGCCTGGTGCCCCAGAACTGTTCTGCAATAATGCTAACGGTAGTGGCAAACTTCTTTCGGGGTGTTGTGATATCATCGTGTTTGTTTGTTACTTTTCCTGCAGTTTCAAATAAAGATTTCCTGTACAAGATGAAGGTTTCTGCAACCTTTTCGCTGATTACAATCTTGACAGGTAAATCGAATTCCACGTCATTCCTTCCACAAATAAATATGTTCGCTTCATGTAAGTGATCAGGAATGGACTAGCAAAAGTAACGTTAGTTTTCGTCCATCATATAAAATATACACATACACAATGACGGGATGAACGCATGTGCTTAGCATTCCTTATCTCTCAGACTCAACGAAATAAATCTTCTTTAAACCGTGTTCCATTCACTCATCTGTGCTGTTCTGTAGTTTACTATAACTTTGATTTGGCATAACGTTTTTGCGCTTGTTAATTAACGTTCTGAATTGCACTGGACACGTGAGTTTTCATACTTCATGAAAGCTGCGTCGAGCAAATACTAAGAAAAACGCGCTTACGGCCACCCTATTACTGCTTGTGTTATAGCGTTAAAATTTATAGCTATTTATATAGCATGTTCCTAGCTGCTGCTCTTTATGTTAGTACATTAACTTTATTATTGTCGAGATTATAGCGTTTTCGCCACGTCTTAGCTACTTACTTGAGTTTATTGCTTATGCAATGCTTCTATGTGTGTATCAGCAGCCGCATAACGTTCCAAACCATCCAGCTATTGTCACAATCATTTTCGCTGATTATGCTACACATAATTAAATCACTTGGGTTTTACTGCTTTTCATGTAACGAAATGTACATATTTGTTTACCATATACGTGTTTTAAATTTTTACCACCAACATTTTATATCGACTGAAAACTTGCAGTGTTCGTGATCATGATCTGCAGAACCGAGGCAGCAGAACTGGAACGTCACGTCCGTCTCCGTAAGTAACACATTACGAAATAGAAAACATGTTTATGAAAATTCCATGCCCGTTAATTCTCCTCAAAAGGAGAGGCGAAAATTTTAAATGAGAGCGTATAGACTTGTGACAAAGAAGGACGCCCCTCTCACACACATGAATGCAAGCTTTGGTCTGTTGGAATCTACACAGTGATTTAGTGCAGTGCAACAGGCTCTTCATTTCCTAACGCGCTCCTGGAGGAAGTTGGCGATAATTTACAGAACTCCACCTGGCAATACGTTTAAAAGTCACCAGATAAGATTTCCAAGCCAAGCGAGAATCTCCAAGTAATCTTGTACCGAGGACATAAATATAACTGACAAAACCAGTATTTGAAAGCGTAGCATCAATGGAATAATATATAGCTGTACCATGTGCAAGGCCCGTATTATTTACTGATTTATTGAGCGTCTTTATATGGTTTTGATTAGAGCATTTAAAGGTATGTAGAATATAGGTACCACCTTTGAATCATAATTTGCGTGGAGAAACACGTAAAAGTATTATTCAATAGAAACTTAAACTGTTTTACTAGTTCCAACGGACACTCCCATCGGCTCTTCAGGTTGTATTGCCAACTGTTGCATGTTTTCCCAAACGTGCTAAATTTTTTGAGGGTTTTTGCTTCCAACCGAAAGTTAAACTTTTTGAATATATAGCAATCAATCTATCTATCTATCTAATAGATAAAATATATATATATTATATATTAGATAGATAGATAGATAGATAGATAGATAGATAGATAGATAGATAGATAGATAGATAGATAGATAGATAGATAGATAGATAGATAGATAGATAGATAGATAGATAGATAGATAGATAGATAGATAGATAGATAGATAGATAGATAGATAGATAGATAGATAGATAGATAGATAGATAGATAGATAGATTAGTCTCCAGAGACATTTTACAAGTTTATAAGAGAGTTTTATCGAGACCCATTATTGCTCACGATTATTCCAGGTCGTGCTACTGGTTGCCCTAACATAGATAAGTGCATCGACAGCTGCCGGAAGGAAGGCCACTCAACTGGGTATTGCCTGCCGATGATAATACAAATTTGTGTTTGCTTCTAGCAAATGCACATGCTTTCAGAAACGTGTCAATAAAGATCAATATTGTGAGCATTCATATATTCGCTTCTGATATAGCTCGTATAAAAGTATACGCGTCTTGTATATACCGACACATGGCTCGCATCTATTGGTAGGTGTGGCTCATCGAACAAATCATGCGTCGTCGTATTTGCGTGCGCACGCCTCGTGCCGAATAACAGATTTCATGAAAAACTGGCACGTCTCACGCACAGTGACAATCAATCACATGCAAAGCGCGAATGAGGAAGGTTAATCTGTCACTCTATAATGAGACGCTAATAATGCCGTACGTGACTTTCATATCACGATTATCATCTTTTAGCCTGGCATTTGTGTTCGTCTTCCTTTCAGGTCACGTAACACCGAATTTAAATTTGGTATATGGGAAGCAAGCGAAACGGGAATCAGCACACTATGAGCGTAGCATGTATTATGTTTTTCATGACACATGTGTCATGATTAACATGTTCGGACATGTCCTTCACCTTCGTCGTCTATTCACGACCCGAAATACCAAACTTAGAATACGTGGAGCTCGCGAAAGGGCTGTGAGAACGCTGTGAGCGCTGCATGTAGTCATGTTTTACATGCCACGCATACCATGGTCATCAGGTCTGGGGTGCTATTCAGGATGACCTGAGCTTCTCGGGCAGACGAGTTAGCTCCGAGCTCACTGTGTGGGAAGGGGGGGGGGGCGCAAGGCATAAAAACAGTGCGGAGCGCGGGCTTCCGGCGCTGGTAAAGATGGCTACAGAAACGAGCGTGGCGTTGGAAATGCATTTGGGATATTTGAGGCGCTTTTCTTAGAAACAACGTACGGAAACATGTCAGCGACACTACTCAGTCAGCATTTTAACAGCGCAGCGACGTCAGCATGATTGTCATGCTATCTTTTTTGCCTCTGAACGCCAAGACTGTTCACGACAGCTATTCCCTACCTCACATTTAAGATTTTACATCAAGCCCCGACGGCCGCATCATTTTCAGCAAAGTCGACCTTGCCAAGGCGTATTACTGGATTCCCGTCGAGCCCGCCAACATACCTAATACCGCCATCATGACGCCTTTTGGTTTATTTGAATACGTGCGGGGACCTTTTCGACTGTGCATCTCGACTCAAACCTTCCAGCGGTTTATTTTTGAAATCACCCGAGGCCTTCTTACAGTGTTTGCGTACCTTGATGATGTCTTCGTCGCCAGCCTAACTCCTGAAGAGCATGAGCAGGCTCTCCTAGCTCTGTTTCAACGCCTGCAGCAGTATAGCCTTGTAGTGAACGCCTCGAAGAGTATTTTCGGCACTCCGGTGGGCTCGAGTTTTTGGGCCATCACATTTCATCGAAAGGTTTACACTCTCTCCAGTCCCACGCTAAACCGATCCAAGATTATCCTCAGCCTACAACAGAGAGCCACTTACTCCAATTCCTAGGACCCATAAATTTTTCCAGGCGCTTGATAACACACTGCGCAGAACTGCTTCGATCACTCACCGACCTCTTTTTTTCAACCACCGGCCCGTACCCTGCCATTCCTTTGTCGTCAGAAGCCCAGGCTACCTTTGCTGCCGCCAAGCAACAGTTGCACACTCTGTGCTTCTTATAAATACACGCAACAACGCCCCTACTGGTTGATGGTAGACGCATCCAGCATGGTCGTTCGAGCTGCCTTGCAGGAGTCTTTTAACTCCGAGTGAGGGACCGTTGTCTTTTTACTCGCGAAAGCTACCTCCTGCTGAGACACTCAACAGCGTCTTCGACCAGGAGTTACTAGCCATCTACTCAGCGATACAGCACTTTCGTCATTTTGAGAGGATCCTCGTTTTACGTGCTGACTGATCATAAGCCACTGGCGTATGTTTTTCGCACAAATTCATCCAATTATATGCCCCGTGAGATCCGTCATCTCGCTTATAACTCGTAATTCACGACTGATATCCGTCACGTCAAAGGCGTCGACAACATCACCACGGATGTTCTTTCTCGTATAGCCGTGGTTGATTCTTCATTTCCAACCATTGACTGTGCTCCCGTCTTCACCGCGCAGCAGAATGATGAAGAGCTCACTGCTTTTCGGGAGGACCCTCGTTGCCTACCGCTATGCCTGGTGCCACATCCTTTATCATCTGAGTCACAGTGGTGCGATGTGTCAGCGGAATTTCCCCGCCCTTTCGTTCCCACTCCATTACGTCGCACCGTTTTCCCCTCCTTACACGACATCTGTCAACTCGGCAATCGAGCTACTCAGCGTATTTTCACCCAGCGCTATGTCTAGACTGGAATCAATGGCGATGTATGTTCTTGGACGCGCATGTGCCTGCCCTGCCAGATGACAAAGTTCTCTCGTCATACCAAGACGCTTCCCCCAAACTTTCCTTCCACCCAGACGTCGCTTCGACCATGTACATGTAGACACTGTAGGCCCTCTAGCAGTGTCTCAAAGATACTGCTATATACTCAACATGGTCGATTGTTTCACACGCTCGACAGAGGCTGTTCCCATTCAAGATATTACCGCTGAGGTAGTTGCCCCCGCTTTCATTTCTACCTTGGTACCTCGTTCTGGCTGTCCTGGCACCGTAACAACAGACCGTGGCTGTGAGTTCGAGTCCACACTGTTTACTTGCCTTAACCGCATCCTCGGAGCAAGACATTGCCGTATCGTCCGTGCGCCAACGGCATGGTGGAATGCCTTCACCGGCAAGTGAAGACCGCCTTGACCACCTGCTTCAATAGAGCCACCTGGGCCGATGCCTTGCCCCTGGTGCTTCTAGGTTTATGGACTGCTATCTGGATGGATCTGCAGTGCTCAGTGGCAGAGTTGGTGAATGGAAGTTATCTGCGGCTCCCTGCAGACTTCTTCATCTCAACACAGCTACCAGCCCAGCCGTAAGAGTTCATACAACTCCAGGACTGCGTTCAAACCTCCGGCCCACTCCACCCCGGCCTTCCGATCACAAGGCAATATTTATCCACCCAGATCTGGTCACATGAACACATGTTTTCGTGTGCCACGACGGCTGCGAGGCTGCTTTTAACGCCAGCCTATGACGGACCATTTCGCGTCCTTAAACGCACTCAAAAAAACTGCCACTCTTCTACAAAATGGCCGAGAAGAGACAGTCAGCTTGGACCGACGTAAGCCGGCGTATCTGGAAACTGCTCTAGAAAGCCTCTCATATACGCGTGAAATCTCGTTGGACGGCCCGAAACATGTCAGATTTCGACTTTTTCGTTGGATGGCGCGCAAAACGGACAGCGCGCGACAGCAAGTAGAAGAAAATAAAGACGGCGCTTGGCAGTGGTACATCAAGTGAAGGCTCTCGTTTCCTGCTGGCGTCGATTGTCATTGAGGCGTCTCTTTTCTTCGCTCCTTCTGCGTAAGCCTGCAACACTAACTGGAGGAGGAGGAGGAATAAATGAGGAATGACAGGGAGGTTAGCCAGTTCTCAGACCGGCTGGCTACACTGTACTGGGGAAGAGGGTAAGGGGGATAAAGGATGAGAGAAAAGAGACGTTGTAAAAAAAGGAGAGAGAAGGTCGTCAGACGACCCACGACGCTGTTTACAGTCTGTCTCTAAGACCACTTGCCCGCAGAAAGCGCAACAACGCTTTCAATGCCTTGCATGCAGAAGACGGTCTCGGCCAGTGTCCTAATACCCTTTCTTCCGACGATTGGCGATTGTCTATTTTATCTAAAGCTTTCGACAGTTCTTTTCATGGCACGCTGAAGCGGGGACACTCGCAGAGAAGATGGGAGAAAGTCTTTGCGCAGCCACAGTTGTCACATGTCGGGCTTCTGGCCATTCCGAATCGAAACGAATAAGCATTCGTAAAGGCCCACCCCTATCGACAGACGGCACAAAAGTGTCTCCTCGGCTCTGGTTATTCCTGATGGAAGACGCAGCTGTAGGTGTGGGTCCAAATTATGAAGGCGGACTTTGGTGAATGCCGGCGAATTCCACTGAGTGAGTGTCAGTTCTCGTGCGAGGGATCGAAGCCTTGCAGCGGCGCCCGTTCTTGATAATGGTATCAAGAACGGATAATGGTAGCTACACAAGGTAGCTACACAAGGAGCATCGTCATGAGCAGTTCGGGCTGCTTCAACTGCACGGTCGTTTCCATCAATGCTGCAGTGGCCTGGTATCCATTGATACGCTATGTCATGCTGTTTCTCTATTGCCCGGTGATGAAGCAGTCGTATTTCAGCAATTAGCTGTTCGTTTAGTCCAAGACGATATGGCGAGGCAATGCCCTGGAGAGCTGCTCCGGAGTCAGAAAATATTGACCATGTCTGTTGCGGTTTTTCAAGTAGGAACTCCAGAGCGGCGTGAATGGCGGCGAGTTCTGCCGCCGTGGATGATGTCAGATGCGAGGTCCTGAACTTTATCGTGATGGCTTTCTCCAGAATTACCACTGCGCCTGTTTAACTTGTTGAAGTGACCGACCCATCCGTGTAAATGTGAATGCGTCCACTGTGTTTCTCATGCAGAAACAGTAATGTTGTTTGTTTTAGGGCCAAATTTGACAAATTTTTCTTCTTTTGCATTCCGGGAATTGTTATCAGGGCTTCCAGTGGATGTAGACACCACAATGGTAACGACGGTCTTGCTGCGTGCGTGAAGTTCGTGGGAATCACCGTGCGATGTGGGGCAATAATAGAGCAGAACGCAGAGCGTGGCCTGGAAGTTGGAAGGGAGGCGAGGTGATGCGATTGAATCCTGGTGGCATGTCTTATGTGCGTTCTTAAAGCATCGACACGAATGTAGGTTGTGATAGGGTGTTCATGAGCGATTGCGACAGTCGCTGCTGAGGATGCGCATCTCGGCAGCCCAAGGCATATTCTCAGTGCTTGAGCTTGTAATGACTGGAGGACGTGTACGTTTGTTATGCGGGCCTTGACAAGCAAAGGTAGGCTGTAGCGCATGAAGCCAAGAAAAAGTGCAGCATACAGTTGAAGCATGGCTCTTACCGATGCACCCCATGATTTTCCCGCAAAAAACCTTAGGACGTGGGTGATCATGGTCAGTTTCTTCTTCATGT